CCTTGGCACGAGTAATCTCCAACTTTAGCAAGAGTAACATCCCAATTTTTTGACGGTTGAAAATTAGGTAAACTCAGCTGGCAATGTCTGTTTCAACACCACTCTTGCTCGGTGCCGTCAAATCCCACAATACTAAGTTCGGAAAATATACGGTTGGGCGACCGGGCCCTAGGAACTTTACAGTGATGGACCCTCCTCCAAACAAAACATGGAAATCATACTCAAGTTCATGGATTCTTGGGACACTGTCATTTCAAATCCTGTTTTACCGCAGCTCCTGGTTTGAATATTTTGACACAAAATAATGAAGAACATCATTTCTAAATCATAGGAATCGATGCCAGTAAAATGCCACCCCTACCCCCGGGGCACAAGGCCAATGGAGTACGGAAAGAGTCACACATTCGGGCGCGGCCCCCGGGTGCTAAAGTCCCTGTTTCACAGATAGCGATACAACTATGGCACTAGCGCAAGTATCAGGAAGTTTCTCCCCCCACTCTCTCATACTAGTATGCTTCACTGTACACGATAAATTCCCCAATCTCTCAATCCGCTAAGCAAGATAGGATTGCAACCCTTCCCTCTACCGTCTCTTGTATGGATACCCTGTACGGCTTCTGTGATGGACACCCTTCTGTTGATGACTTGAGAGATCCTTAACTGGGAGCTTTTCCGCCCCCATACTCTCCCGACCTTCCCAGTACGTATAAGCGTCATATGAGTGCTTACTATTAGTATGGGTAGGAACTCCCCAACTGGGAATCCTAGAGTTCCAACTAACACCACGTGTTCCATCCAATAAGTTTTTAGTGTGCTCCTGCCCCTCTTGTATGAACCTCCCATCATGATTCCAATCACCCCTACTATTTCCCCTGTCTCCTTGCCCTCGGTCTCCATAATCGCTATTGCCCCGTCCATGACCACGGCCCTCCCGATCGTAGGGCTCATACGAGTTTCTGTGACTTGAAGGGGAGCTTTGGTTTTTGCTTCGTATTGGCCCTCGCGTGTGTTGTTGGGGTGGCTGGATTTCTGACGACATGTTCTCAAAAGGTGTAGTACGTCGAGAGTGGACTTTGTGTGGGCTCGGGTGGTATTTCTCTTGCGCCCAAGCTTCGTTGTAGTACTGTGTCCCGCCAGGAGCGATCCCACGTCCAAAATACCCGCTTCCGACAACGCATTTGGTGAGTATTGGCGTTCTTTTGAGCGAGGTCTTGGGTGCATTCTTAGCTATATCAGCATCCCACACTATCTTTCTGTGGGCCTCAGTGACTTTTGCAAGATCCTCGTCCGATATCCTGCCCATTTTACTACCCCAGTCGATGGTATACTTTCCAAGGGTCATGGGGCACAAGAGATCAATGTATCCCGTACAATACCTCGGTGTTATTGTTATCGGAATATAGATGCCGCCGTTTTTGTTGGGTGAAATTGGGTAGTAGGTGTCTGGTTCCCTCTTATGCTCACGACAAGCTTTATCGAACGTTGCGTGTTTTCGTAGTGAGGTGAACGGCCTGTCTTGAATGTATCAACGGAGACTGTGGGCAACGTGTCTCATCAGGGGCTTACCCACAAGCAGATGACATGTTCCTGTTTAGAAAAGAGCACTAAGTACGGCCTCGGCTTGATTTCCCGGAGATTTGGTAGGGTAGAGGTGCCGAGGAGTAGGTAGCCCGGACGGATTTCGGCTGTATCGCGAACCCGGAATTGTGGATCGGGGGCGCTATTCTCCAAGCCCTGCCTAGAACCCGTACTCGTACTGGCATTCATGCTTATCTGGGGGTAATGACTATGACGACCAAGGTGGAGCCGGGGCTAAAGCCCTGGGGGTGGTTCTAGCTGTCAAGGAGATTCATGGGAGAGAGGGATTCATCGCCAGAGTCATACTTTGATGCGTTTTCAACCGAAAATCCTTGGCATGGGACGGCTCATGTTTTGTCAGCCTTGCTCTACCATCGAAGGAAGTCAAGATATCTAGTGCGCTACCAGCAAATTGCTTGAGGTGCTCTTCCAGTATAGGGTACAGGTTGTTATTGGTTCTACACAGCTTTTTGTTAATCACCGCTCTATCATTACTTGTTCCCTAGAAACTATATCAATCAGAAGGGTGAGTGCAGAAGAAATTACAGCCAATCTATTTCCCTTCATACTTTTAGTAGCTCCTCTAGGCCTTTAATTTGGTTCTCCCAACTGTGACCGGATATTCTTTCATGTTCTCCATTATTCATGAGCGCTTTAAAACGAGCTGTCAAATATATCCAAAGCAAGAAGGCCCTCGTACTATACTTAAAGGATCACCGCCAGCCCGAAGAAAGCCCGATGCCAACCGGTAGCAAGCGGTCCTGCCGGCAATTGCCGATAAGGGGCAAAGGAACAGGGCAACGACCAACCCCCTTCCCTTATCAGCTCTAGCATCAGTGGGAGTTTTCTCTCCTAAAGCCACAGCCCGCCGTAGCTGCTCAACGTGCCAGGCTGGATGACCGGTGCAGTAGCCTATAGACACCTTACTGTTAACCCTAGTACAGCCCTTCACCATTTTGACTATCAACAAATAGTATCCCGACCGGGGACCTTTCTACCGGTTCGGCGACTATGGAAGGGGGGATGAGAGAGGAATGGAACTGGGCTCAAAGGGAGGGATGTTTATTTTAATTCCGTGCAGGGCTGGTATACTACATCGGAACCGCCACGCCATATGCCATATCGTGGACCACGCGAGTGGTAGAACAATGGTGACTGTTAGTTTCCCAATTCCCCTCTCAATACTGACCTTGGTGTGAACAAGAGATAGCTTCAAAAAGAGTGTCAGAGAGGTCAAAGGAGAAAGGGAATCCAGTCAACATGGAAGGTTTCCAGCGCCTCAATCTCTCAGGGACCTGTTTCCCGAAGCCCTAAGGCTTTTTAAAGGGTGCCAGGGGTGCCAGATTTCGTTATCAAACCATCTCAGCAACTTGCATCGTCCTTAACGGCCGGTTTTTTAATCTCATTGCCGGTAGGAGTACAAGATCCCTAAGCAAGGTCACTTGCTCACCTGTAATTACTTCTAGCTCGGGCTTGTCTCATGTGCCTCAATAACACCATAGTGAGTGAATGTCCGCCGAGGGTGGTGGGCCTGTTCTCTGTGGGTTCATAGGAATACAATATAAAGGGCTTAATGAGGGAACTAAAACCTGGAACGTGGGTACCTTATTAACTCTTAAACTCCACTATCTCCACCAGACCTATAATCTCTAGATTCTGAGTCACAAACTCTTGAAAAGGACTAGTGTTTTCTTAGAATGGTATAAGATTAGCCTAATGGAGGTGTTGGAGCTCCTTAACTGGTTTTAGCAACTCTGTTAACCTGTCAAACCAAATCTATCGTGGGTGGACGGGACATCAACCCTTGCTTAAGGAGATAGTGGATTTCAAGTAGGGTAGATAAACGATGGGCCGCAAGGAAATGATCTGTATGTAAATGGGGTGACAATTTACGTTCTCCGAGATAAAACTCACGGAATTAGCAAAAGAGGACGAAAAATACTTAAAGGTCACGAAAAGCATGTAATTACTATTGGAAAAACACTTTGCAGGATGGCGACAACCAGTTTTCTCTCCACCGTGAACCTGGGAAGCATGGAGGAGGAAGCTCCCACGCGTCTCTAATTTTTCAGCCTTCCACACCTCGGTACTCTAACGGCCCCCAGCCGAATGAGTTGGCCACTCCAAGGGCGTGGGCACGATGCAGCTCCGGCTCCTACCGTATCATAGAGGAACACATATGCACGACCTTTCTCTTTGCCCCTTTCTATCAAAAGAAGTAAACTTGTGTCAGCGGGTCTTGTAATAAAATGTGACTGGTCGGGGACCTGCGTGGGGGCTTTGCCAAGCCACGAGTCATCATGTATGATCCTAGGGTAAATTGCGGAGGCGCCCCTCCGCCAACCCCCTGAGATGGATTAACATGTTCCTGATATAGTAAAAGACCGGGCGGCGGGGTAGTTCTCCCGAAGCGGTATTTGTAATATTATTAACATGCCAAACCAAACCCATAGTGTGATGACCGCCCTCTGGAGATGGTGGATTTCACGAGATTTTACGGCACGATACACGACAAGGATAGATAACTAGTAAAAGAACCCGTATTGTGTACGAGGACACCTCCCCGGGCACTTTGATGGTGTCGGACGTTGTAAATCAACCCTTAGAACAACGGGAGGAGTCAGGAAGAACCGAACGACACAGATAAACTAGGGGTCTAATTAAGAAAATAGGAACATAGATGTGATAAAGAAGTATGTGAGAAGGGTTCTATGAATCCATTTTCTCAATTAATTCCGAGAAAAAAACATAAGGCACATGTAAAGTAACAAGAAACTTGCATGTGGGGAAAAAAAGTGAACGGCCCACCAAGAGAAAGTTTAAAATGAGAATTCGAGTGACATGTGATGATTAATGCCATTACATATTATGTAATCTCCAGATAGGAGCGTGAAATACGTGCCAAGAAGGCCAACAAAAATATTTTTTGCTGGAGAAAAAACCCTGTTCAAAATCACAAGGAAGTGAACAAAAGGGCTGATTTTAGATGGTGGGTAAGTTACCATACTTGTCGAGATTCTAAGCTCCATACATTTTACCTGCAACGGGTGCTCAGCTAACGTATCAGACGTTCTCCGGTGTGATTTCTGTCGGAAAGAGCCCGACTCTGCATACCTAGGCGAATCGAAAGGTATATTCTCTGATGGGTGAAAGCTGCTGGAAATGGTGTGACTTGGGGCGGTTTCTCGCAAGTGCCACACAAGCTTCCACGCCAAAAGCAGTCGTATAATATCACTCGTTACGAATCCTTCCAAATAAACAGTCGTCCAAACAGAGGTTCAACGAATTTCATTCATTCGCGAGTACCAATCCGGCATATAACTGGCTAAACCTCCCCAGCAGCGGTGCCCACAAAGCGAAAACAAATCCAATAAATCACGACAATAGGGCTCCCGGACGCTAGTCAGGCACCATCTTATCCTAAATTCATGCTGTTGCCCCACCTTCCAGCCCGACATTCAGACCAAACAACCTGTATCCAAATCACCTATGTCTAGGCTGCAACAAGGGCGGATATGGAAGTAGCCGATCCCGGGCATTGCGCTTTCCATTACCACCAGTCTCCCATAGAGACCCCCCAAACCCCCAATAGAAGTTTGTCAAGCATCCACCACCCTGAACCATCCAGAAGTGCTCCTCAACATGGCTCAATTTAGACTACGACTGTTCACACAAATAATTTATCCCATCAAAAGCATAGTCGCACGACCGTTTCGCAACAAAACTAGTCTATACTAGTGAATCCTGAGCAAATAACCCTATGAATTTCAGCCTTCCAACCGAACCGCTCCTCCCTGGTATCGGTACGGTACAAACGGTGTCCCGGCCACACTCCGGTGATACTCCCACAGCACTAAACGACCCAAAGATATCTCCCCGGTACCTGCAGTTCCCTTCGTCATACATCCCATTTACCCTTCCAGAGTCAGAATCAACACCCCCGTAAGTCCGCTGTAGGTAATATACTACTCCTCGGGTGACTGGTCGTTCGGCGCAGTAGGCAACCTGACGGGTCTAGCACTGTGAGTTATACCCGACTCCCGTCACCAGTGACTGTTCTATCAAATGAATCTGGCGTCGGATGGTTGCAAGATAGTCGGAGGCAGCCATGTGTTATCTGCCGTTTCTTGCGTTCCCTCCCGCCCCGCCCGCCCTAGGCAAGTTTAATGGACCCATGCCATTCCCGCAGTCCACTGCACACAGAGTGAGACAGAAGAGCGCGTAAAAGTATTGTATTGGGGGCTCAGACAGAGTGCCCATTACCAGGTATACCAATAGCCAAATGACCAACGTCGAAATATAATCATAAAACCTCGGTACAAATCAACGTGTGGATCGCCCAGAGGACGCTTATAGAACATAAGATAGGACCCATTTCTGCTGCTCTCCATCATTCCCAGTTCCCCGCCCCCGCCGTCTCCTAGTGCCCACATACAAGTGTTTCTCATTTGACCAGTCGTTCAGTCTCCCCAACGATGGTGGCTCTGGGGTCTTTAAAACCGAAACAAACTATGTCCTAACATCCTGCCTAGTCTAGAAGCTTTGGCAGTTTATCCTGGTGCCCCCATTTAGAAAATTAGTACTATGCTCCGGGGTCTGTAATATGGGGACCACTTACCCACCACAAATTTCCAGGCAGGCTTTATAACACTCCGGATTTCCTCTTGGGAGAATCCCTCCCTCTTAGCGATTATCGGAATGCTGCACTATCATGCCTATTTGATACGGGATCGTAGCTTTAGGGCATAAGTTAGTGCAAACTTCTCAAGCAAGTAGATAGTCGGCCCCAACCATAAAAACATTTTATCTCTTAATCAACTACTAGTGAATCCACTACACGACAACCCCCCCCCCCCCAAAGTTAACGATTTACTAAGCAACCCATAACTGGTATCCTCTACTATAAATATATCTAGGAACGTGTTTCACCCCGCCCGAGGTCCTTGAGTGCATTTTCAATAGGCCACCCGAACCTCCTCGACAAAATAGGCTCGGCGACACACAG